CTTTCTTCTACTGTGGCTCATAAGGTTATTAGGGGCAGATGCCGTGGCTCATATTCACTGTCTACACTTCTGATACTTTTAGGCCTGTAAATATTTCTTAGTCAACTGATTGCACAGAACCTAAATAACTTGCTCACAATTTTCTAGATCTGATAGTTAACGTTTTTGACTTCATTGTCTTGGAAACTTTAGTACATGAAAAATACAAACATCATTCTAAATCATATTCAGCTGGAATAAAATATCGTAATCTCCTGTGAACATGACGTGACATCTACCTAGGAGGAACTATAATAATGTAATTGAAACTCTTCCTTCTTTTTTTTCCATTAGAGGCACAAAACTGGGGAAATTCTTCATTTCTACATGCTTTCTTTTATAAAAGCAAACATGTACACATTTCTCAATATGTTAAAGTTTCTCCGCTAGGTACTGAGAAGAATAAAATGATTTTAAATACAGTTTCTCTTCTAAGTGATTTTTGTCAACCCTCAATAACTTGACTCTTTTTACTTATTAGTACACTTTCAACATGGCATTTTTCAAAAGACTAAAAAACGCTTGCAGATTAATCTATAATAAGTTAAGGAAACTATACAAGCATTGTAACAGTAACTGCCTAATTAAGATCTAAAATACAAAATAAATATTACAGTCTGTCTAAACATATTAGCAACCTGTAATCTATCTTTTCAAATATTTTTTAAAGCAATTGAGCCTTCTTTCAAGTGCAATCTTAGTGACAAGCCCATAGAGTAAAAGCACAGAGGCAGACTGTTGGGTGGCTGCACACCCGCTCTGGGGGCTATGGTGCCTGAGGTTGAATCCAGTCTCTGACCAAGCAGCCCCGGCATCACGGACAAATTGCATGGCTCTCCATGGTGCAGTTTTCTCCATGATAAACAGGGGATGCTAGCCGACCTTATCTTATAGACTGTTGCTTTGGTGACGTTGTGAGAATAAAAAGAATTAATTAATATAAAGTACTTAGGTAGCCAGGCACTGTGGCTCATGCCTGCAATCCCAGCAGTTTGCGGAGCCGAGGCAGGCTGATCATTTGAGGTCAGCAGTTCAAGACCAGCCTGGGCAACATGGCGAAACCCCATGATTTAGTAGAGGTTTAACAGAAACCTCTACTAAAAATACAAAAATTAGCTGGGGGTGGTGGCAGGCACCTGTAATCCCAGCTACTTGGGAGGGAGGCTGAGGCAGATTTATTTGAATCCCAGAGGCAGAGGTTGTAATGAACCGAGATCATGCCATTGCACTCCAGCCAGGGCAACAATAGTGAGACTCTGCCTCAAAAAAAAAATATACTTAGAAGAGTGGTTGGCTCTATGTCAGTGTTGTTATTATTATTATTGGACAAAAATGTTTTCTGCTTGACACTAAAATACTCAGAGGAAGAATTCAATTACCAGATGTTTCTATGTATCTATGTTTATATTCATAGAGCTAAGATTTCTGGCTATTTGGCCAAATGTTGAACTTTGGATCTAATGTGTAGCATCAGAGCTGAAGCTCCTGTGATTCTCAGAACAGGCTACTTCTGATATCAAGGTTAATTGGTGTGCTAAATATACATGTCTTACAGAGGTATAATGAGTGCTTCTGCAGTCTTTGAATTATTTTTCAAATTCATAGGATGTTTTAAATTTTAAAAAGTTCACAGAGTTATAGAATTTGGGGGATGTAAAGGGCTCCAGGGGTCCCCTAGCATGACCCTTAATGTGACAGATCTTATTAATAAGAAAAATAAAGCAACTTGTCAAGTCACTTCATCAGGATCCTTCAACTACTTAATGATATTTAACTATGACTGGAACCCAGGTGTACTTGGGACTCAGCGTCATTTGACACTATATTGCTGACACAGATTTTTCCTCTTTATTCTGTTCCCAGAGACACTGTACCCTAAGGAGAGATTAAGGGAAAGGGTGTGGGGAACAGTCAGATTTGGGCTCAATCTGGGTTCAAGGCTGGTGACATAAGGAAGGGCATCTTCACATCTCTAGTCAGTTGCTTCATTTGTAAAAATAGGATACTAATGGAATTATTATGAGCATTAAATTACATAATGCATCTAAAGAACTTGACACAATGCCTGGCACAGTGTAAGGACTTCACAAATGTTAAGGATCATTATTATAATTATTGTCACATATATCACCATTGTTCTGAACAAATTATATGTATAATGTTGGTACCAAAAGTTCTTTTTCTCATTTACCAAACCCTAAGACATATTTCTTCAGTCAATGATTTTCCATAGGGTGGCAGGGAGTGGGTGTGAAAGAGAGAAAGAGAGAGAGAGAGAGAGAGAGCTGTGCATATACATGTTTCCATTATTTGACAAAGTCAGGTAGCCCTGGATCCTATGGCTTCTTCAATTCCCCTCAGCTTACTTGCAGTCCCTGTGATAATGGCCTGTGTGCTAACCCTAATATGTAAAACCTGACCCTTGGATCCTCCAGCTGATAAGATTTGATTATGGAAGAAACATTCCCAAGGAAGTAGGGCATCGGTTACGGAACTTCACCAAACTTCAAATGTTTACAGTAGCAAAGATGGGCCATGATGAGACTGAATGGGAAACCTGGTCAGTACATGATTTATACCAAGATAAAAATGCTTGGAAATTTGACCTTTAAACCAAAAGGTCTGTATCATCAGCTGTAGCTGTTCTACAATCTGAAATCGAAAGCTGGAAGGGTTTTCAACTGAATGTGAGTATTTCAGAAAAATAAATACCAGCGGGATATTCTATTAGTTCTGAAAGTCTAAGTGAAATATATCTGATTTACCTGTGAAAACCAATGTAAGCAATATCTGGAAGAGTTTTCTTGTTTGCTCATTTTGTTTAGAGTTGGAACCTGCTTTTCAGGAATGAAATGACAGAGCTATAATCCCTAGCAAAAAAATTCCCAAATACATCATAGAAACTAGGATAATCCTTCATGAAGTCAGAAGCAAAAAAAAGAAAACAGGAAATAACTTCCTCTACCATTAAAATAACCACAGCATCCACTCCTATCCCCATTCTTCCATTTCCCCAGGTCTGACACTCTGCAGATGACCGCCCTTATTTGTCCCTACATGTTTTCCAAAATATAAAAGTGAAATAGAGTCCCAAGGGCACTGTACTTGAAAGGTTATGAGAGTTAGAGAATTTTAACCATGCCTGCCAAACCAGCAGATGGCTTGTGATTATAATTATATGCATCAATAAAACGAATAATCTTTACAAAATTTGAATTTCTACTAAAGTAAGGGATTTAGTAAGCAGATGCAACAGAATGCATTTTCTTTAACCCTTTTGGTAGACACTGGTGTCTTTCACACACAAAAAAGATCCAGGACTGCGTAGATAGTAGGTTGTGTACTCGAATTTTTGCCCCTTTCTAGAGTAGTCATAGTGTCAGCCTCAATCTTTTCCTGATTTCATTTACTTCATGAACATATTTCAACCTCACCTCATTTTCACCCTTCAGAATAGAAATGTTAAGACTAATTCTCCACCATTGTCTGATATTTGAAAGAAAATTTAAAAGAGGTAAATACCTTCATTCTAATTCATACCAAGTATACTATAGAAACAAAAGAGCAAACAGTGGACACATCTTTCTATCTAATGGTATTCTTTTACAAATTAGATTTTCAATAACACTTTTTTGTTTTCATATTCTCTTTAATCTACATTCCAGGAAGGAAAATACTCTTTATTCTATTTAAATAATTAACCATTTCCTTTCAGTTTGCTTCTGCCTGTCATTATAAGTAAGGGTAACTAAGTTTTATCTCATGCCAAGCATGAATTCACTCATATTGAAATTGGATATATATATGACACATCTGAAAAAAAGGATGTGGTGAGGTTTACACACTGGCCTTCTGCCATGTTTCCTTCATGAAGGAACCTCAGAATTTAGGGAATTAAGTTAAGCTAGCTTTGTTTACTTTCAAATCTTGGAAGGAGTAGAGAAAATGTACCACAAAAATTTTCATTCTTATTTTTTTATAAAATAGTAATGGAAATATTTTTATAGAATTACCAAGTGTAACTCTTCATTAGAATAGTATCAATTAATATACATTTCACCCAGCATACCAACAAATATAATATTTAAGAATATCTGGAGAACCCATATTTAGTGCAGATATCTCTAGCACCTTCAAAGTTAGTTGCACTATATAAATCAAAAAAATTAAAACAGTCTGATCAAAAATGTTCTTATAGTATTGTAGTTAACTCCACTTAATAGTATAAATAAGTTACTAATAAAACTTTAAAGGCATTGACATTTTTGCAGGTCAATGCAATTTACCTATGGACACAAGATATACGAGATCAGAAATTCTCAGCAACAAAATTCTTTCAAGTTACAACTTAAATATATAGATCAAACCCTATCAGAACAAATGTTCTGACAAGTTAAACCAAAAGAGTAATAAGTTTTTGCCTAAAAATTTATAAATTTGATGTAACATTTGACAACACTATATTCAAATACTCGTAAAGAAATTCAGATATCTCTTGAGTTCACTGGAATGGAATTTTATCTCCTAAGATTAAATATTCATCAATTAACTGGGTTCAAGATCCTTTACATAGGTGATAAAAATAAATAAAGTAAAATATTTTTCAATTATAACGTCCTTAAAGAGGGAAAACTTAAACCAAATTCAATGTATCAATTAAAAGAAACAATCTAAGCCAAAAAACTTATGAAATAAATCCCAAAGGGGCAAAAAAATAAAAAAAAAAAGAAAGAAGAAAACCCCATAATCTTAAGAGTTAAAGACCTATGCTGTAAATACTTAAGTTATAGATGTTTCCTTTTTAAATTCAATGAAATTAAATATTTCTGCTTATAGGGAGTTTAAGTTGACGAGTAATAAAATTTTTAGGTATACTTTTGTTAGCTACTAATAAAACTCTGCATAATAAGCCAATTTAATCACATATGCTTAATATATGTTTAGAATTTTTAACATGTTACCTTAGTCTTGATATGAGCACGCAGACACATAAAATGGAATTGTCACAATGCTTCAGGGACACTCACAAAATTGGGGGCTCTGGAAGTGAAAATACGAGAAAGAGTTCTGTACTGGTACGAGCGAATGCACAGGCGGTGTGTGACATGACATTGGCACGTCCACTCGCTGCCTCAAACCGCAAGTGAAAGTTAAAAACACCAAACACAATATGCCAGGGGCATTAGGTAGATGATCTTACTTAATTTGCACATAAGTTATAAGGCAACATTTATCTCCCATCACTCTTGCTCCCATCTAACAGACTAGGAAACCGAGGCCCAGAAAAGTTAGAGAACTTATCCAGGGCACAGACTGAGTCAGTGGAAGAACCAGGTTTCAGATCTGTGAACTCGAAAAGGGAGTGTTGTAGATTCTCTTGTCACTTTGTCCCTCATATGCACTTAGGATGACTGCCTTATTCTCTAGCAAGCATTTTATAGCTCCTCTTAGATGGGGATCCTTAGGGGTGGAAAAGAGGTATTACTAACAGCATCTACTACAGTCCTCTGAACTAAGCAGTTTTAATATTTATTTGTTAAATGAGTGAATCAGAATAAAAGTTCAGTAATACAAAGTTTATTTCTGACAACACAAAATAAGTTTCTCAAATTTCTTTAAAGAAGGAAGTTGTCAAATAGATAAAGCCATGCATATTTTCTTTAAATAAAAAAAATATATATTTCAGATGCAAGACCCATATAGGTGGAAACAAGTTTACATAAACCAAAAGTAATGATCTGGGCCTTCTCATTTTAATGACAACACGGACCTATTCTGTTTTGAAGAATGACAATTACATTTCTGTAAAAGTAGCTCCACTCCTTTTCATCCACAGCGATGCAACTAAATGAACTTCAGTCAAGTTTGTACACCCTTTGCTGTACCGGTAAGGATGGGGGTAAAATATTTACAGCCAGCCAAAACAATTACGTGTTTTCTGAAACATTCACTCTTGTATTAACAGGAGGGAACATCAACAACTACAGAAAAAAAATTGTAGTACATGAGATTCAAAAATAAAACATTCATCACAGAAAGATAGCCTAATACATTTATAATGCCTGAAAGAGTGAACTAGTTGCACAACTCTGCCTTAAACTAAATTTGTTAGGCAGCAACTGTAGCCATTTTTAGATGGTTTGCTTTTTCCATGATTTCTATCACATGAAAGGCATAATGATGCTATGACATATTAGAAAAATCTCAACTTAGTAAAATCAAAATCTATTTTCCCCACATATATTTTACTTGAAATTAAAAAGACACTATTATACCACTTTCTTCACAAAATTTATTGCCTCCTTATTTCTGGCTATTGTTAAAACAATACTTAGAGTTGGTAATATACAACATATATTACATTCTCTACAGACACGCATATAGTTCTAAACAAATTAGATAAACAAAATGAATGTTAGGGGCACATTTAATAGAGGAAAAGTACTTCATGAAAAAAATGGTTAAGAAGTATGTGACCTCTGATCACCCAGACCATATTATTTACCTATATTATGAATCTTTCATGAATACTACTAATAAGCTATTTATTTAGTATCACAACACTGCTATATCCTTATAGAAATAAATATTTTTCAGTATAAGTAATGAAAGTTAGCAAACTGATTTCTATACAGAGTTTTAATTCATGAACAGATGATTATGACATGCCATTCTAACATTAAATGACAGTGGCTTTAAAATTGAATACTGATACTGATATTATGAACACATCTATTTTAAAACACCACACTTACATTAACAATACTTTTTAAATATTTTCAATGAGACCGTCAGAGTTTATTAAACCACTGACAACCCACTTAGCGGACAGTTCTTAGAATAAAATATTTAATTTACCTGAATGTCTTGTAACAATATCATCCTCTCTTGAACTAAACATCCTCTGAATACACAAATCTAAGGCAGACAGACATTTCAGCAAGGCAAATAAGACTTTCTGGCAACTTCCTGTTGCCATATTTCTCTAAAAGGATCCTGCAATGTTACACTTCAATCCTGCAAACGTATTTTTCCAAGGGACACAGCAAGCCAATGCTGCTCCAGTGTCAGAAGCTTTGATTTTTTTCCCAAGTACAGCAAGCAAATAACCACTAATCCTATTCAATATTACAGATTCACAGTAATGATTCTATTTCCAGATTGAAGAGAAATTAAATACAAGAGGAAAAGAGGAGCTTTTGTTTTCTTGTTTTGTTGTGCTTGATTGGTTGGTTTTTAAGACACTGATGAAGGAAATAGTTATTCTATCTATGTTATTAAATATATATTAGGGGCTGGGGCAATTTTGCATTGTCAAGAATGAACTTCACTACTCACATTCGTGCCCCAGGTTTCCATTATCTTTCAGAAGCAGTAAGACTAACTAAATTTAAAGTTGCCTCGTACATTTGAAAGTTTTCAAACCTGAACCAATAACCTGAATGGTAGTTATGGGCAAAAGCACCATTTCTCCAACAAATAGCCTACCTCTCAAATTCAAGTTCACTTGCATTTTGGGGTTTACTTACTTTTTAAATTTACAAACTTTTGTGAAACAGCAAAACAAAACAACAATAACAACAAAATAAGAACACTGATCACTGAAGCGGTATTTCCAGAAGTGATAGCAAAATCCCTTCATTCTGACCTACTTGTCGAGAAACGGACTTTCAGCCCCACGGTTAGGCTAAGATCTGTTCCACTTTCTCCCTAGGGCTTAATTGCCAGACTGACTTACCGGTGCCTCCTAGCCTTTGTTCTGCCTCTCACGCTGACATCAGGGAAGCAGTGATGTAGAATAAAGCAGGGGTGGGCTAGGTTAGTCCAGTGTTTGTGTCGTTGTGTGGTGTGCAGGGACACTCTGTGATACTCTAGTGAGCTGCTAAGCTTTTTTTGTAGGCTTTGTGTCATTTACTTAACGACCAATCTCATTAGCTGCCAGGGTACAATGGGCTGATGCATTTTCTATGTACATACTCCACACAGTGACCCTCAAGGTTGCCGAAGGTCTATTTAATCAGTCAAATGCTGAATATATTTGCAGTAAATCACTAAAAAAATTTTAAAAATATGAGAATACTGAGGTATCTTACAGACTTAATATTTCCTGGTGGTTATTTGCAGGTAATAAAATGCATGCATATTCAGCCCAAACAAGGATAGAGCAGGTGGAGATGAATTGTCTGGTTTGCACTGGTGACCTTAATTTTAGGAAACTTTCAGATCAAAGATATTTTCTCTTAGCAAGGAGCCCAGATTTGAAATTTAATTTCTGTGTTAGTTTAATCATATTAGCACAACAAAAAAGAATTGCTTTCTTGAGCAGTTTCTCCTTCCTCCTTCCTCGCCCCCACCCCAGTCCTACCCCCTACCCAAGCAGCCTCAGACCTGGCAAAGTTGCATTTATGCCCTCTTTCAGTTACAAGGTAAAAACCCTTTTAACTCCTATGAAAAATGAAATGCTGAGAGCACTATGAATGACGACAGCTGTCCATAAGTATCAGGGAGAGTTCTATTGTCCAGCTTGTCCCTGGATAAAATGAATACTTTACAGCAGAGGCTGTTCAGCTTGGCTAAAGAGTGTGGGGAGAAGGGGAGGAGGTCACTGGAGATTTCGCACACTAATTTAATCTGGGAAAAGGACAGGCTCTGCATCTCCCTTGAACAGACTGGCAGCAATCTGGGCCCCCACAGAACTATCTCCTTTTGCCTGTGCTCTATTTATTCCTTATCTCTGTTTACCAACCGCTAGGTCCCTTTCATTCACACCACGAGGCCGTTTTCCTACTATCAGTCAGCAGCTGACACTGTGGAAGAGCCTCAAAGGCAAAAAAAAAAAAAAAAAAAAAAGAAAAAAGATCAAAACTAAACCAAAGCTGTATAAACAATGCCACAGTACAAGTAAATGCATAAACCCTGATTCTTAACCCAACCCACAGGGTGCAAACAGAACCTTTATAGTAAATCCAACAAACCCACCACAGTGAGCTGTGGGCCGCAGAGAAAGAAAAGTCAAAACACCATTCATGAAATCACCATCCAAAAAAAAAAAAAAAAATTGCTAAAATATACACTGGCTACTGAAGCAGCCTTACTTTCAGGGATATTCTTATCTCTATCATAGATCAATTAACTGGCCACCAAGAGATATTTACCTGGCTGGGAAAGGTGACCTATACATTTCTAAGGGAGGCCTGGCTCTCATTAAAATGTCAGCAGTTAAAAAAATATCCACCAACATGATTACAAGCTAAAGAGGATGAAGCAACACCAACTTTTCCAACACCTTATCACACTGATTGAATTTAAACAGTTCAAGACTCTTGGTATTAAACCCTCATTTTTTTTAAGTAAATATATTAAAAAGTCCTGTACAATTCAATCAATGAAATCTTCTTCATGTCTTGTGGATTTTACCTCCTTATGTCAAAATGATTAGCATGGCAGAGAAGTTGGGAGAAGACTACTTCATGGACAACTTTTTAATATTTTGAAGCACTCTGCAGGGTGTGATCAAAAACAGAGATTGGAGCAACTAGTTTAAAGTGTGGAAAGAGGAGAAAATAAAATAAGTGTTTTTTGAGCTGTGTAACATTTGAGGAAATACGAATCTTGAAAACTTTACTTATATTAATGTTAAGTGCTAAATACTTACCTGAATATTTCAACAAATGGGAAAAGCCCTGCTTAATATAAACATTTCTTTGAAGTGATTCAGAATTTGTATATAATATATATGTGTATGTATAGACGTATATATATGAATATATTATAAGCATAGGTATACACACTGCCTCTCATATACACATACACAAAATGAGAAGTGCATAATTTCTAATGCCTGGAGTTCCTCAGATTAAAAACTGAGATTTACTTTAAATTTCCCTGGGTTTTTTAAAATCATTGAAATGATTGGGAATGATTGGTTATTGTCATAAAAATCAACACCGCATTGACTCAATCACTAAGATCTTTACCAGTAAAAGGAAAGACAATGCAGCTCATTATCTAGGATGATCAATTGGTCCAGATTTCAGTTTGTGTTTTCACCTATATGCATTATGAGCAATGAAGTCTTTACTACTTGGATCCTTTTTTCCAAATGAATTAATGAATTAAATTTATCCTTTCACCAGCTGCTAGGCAGCAGATGGAACCATTTCTGAAGCCTTGTTGAATTCAATCCATAAAACTCATTTCCTAGGATTAGCCGTCCAAAGTTTCTTTTAATGTTTATATACCGCTTGGGATTTTGAATTTCATGATGTTAAACTTTCAATTTAACTATTCTTTTTGCATTTCATATCAAACAATTATGATCTTTTGGATTTCTATAGCAGACATGGCAGGTCACATAAGGACAAGAATTAATTTCAAGAGCAATAAAGTCATGCAAGTTACATTTTTTTGATATGTCTGTTCACATTGCTCTACTACCATAGAAACTATTTGCAATTAACTGTTGTCAACCTAAAGACTTATACATTTAATAGCTATACATTTTGTTTATTTATGCATAAATAGTTTAAAGCTGCAACTGGAAACATTCATTAACATTATGAAAGCTTAAAGTTTTTCTGGGTTTTGCAATTAGTTATAGGAGTAAGGTTGTTACGTACTGCAAGTAAGATTGTTAATTATCTACAAATAATTTCTGTATATACCAGATTAATTTATATAATGAGAATTTAATTCTGACTTCTAAAAATGGAAATAAAGACAATTATTCAGAGTATGTATGTTAACTTTTTAAGGAGGCAGCTACCATGGACAGCTCCTAACATTTCTGGTCTTTTCTAGGTCACTTGCAGTTGTCTAATTTAAGAGAAACCAGGAAACTTCAAATCTTACTAGTTCATGTTATAGTTGAATACTAATGACCACTCTGAAAAAAAAAAGACTCTTTTAAACATAACCACATTAGGATCTCATAAAAGTTTCAATGTACTTTGAAACGTTTTAAATACAACCACCTTATGCTCTCTAAGGTACAGTATATCCAAATTTAAAATATAAAAGCTTTTAAGCTTAAAATGATGCTCCTACCATAACATAAATACAAGTAAAAAAGAGTGAATTGCTTTTATGTGCAACAGTGATTTCCGCTAATTTGGCAAGAGAAATCTATATTAATCTAATATTGTAGTAAGCCAAGAAGGCCACATAATAATCACCACTGAGTAATTGAATATTTAGAAGAAGGAGAAAAGAGAACATTGGTAATCTTAAGTTACAGGCATAAAAGTAGGATACCATGCAGATGATATTTGCAAAGCAAAATAAAAAGCAAAGTTAGGGAAGTCTAATTTTAGTCTTACTTTGGATTCTGAATTTGATTATTGCCTGGAACTTATTTACTATTTCCCTAACGTAATGATAGTGCACACGATTATATTCAACATTTCTTCATCAGTTTTTTTTTTCTTTTTCTTTTTAGTGTACTGGATTTTGCAGTATTAGCTGTGGCATGAGAGTTGATAGAACTTTTTTTTTCTGACAATTAGCTACTTTCTTATTTGGAAAATCAAGGTGATAGAAGTTACAGTGCATACTTTGACTGTTGACTGTCTTGTTCTTTGAAACTGAAAAACACTCCAGTTATTTCCACATGTATCAAAGTAAGCATCTTTAATAAATGCTTTATTAAAATGAAAGTAATATGAGGCAAAGTATTGTTTATCAAAGGTTTTGAAATTTTTCTGTATAACTAAGTAATATTTCATTGAAATCACCCTTCCGCAAAATTTTGTTCAAGATTAGTATTTTCTCTTTCATTCTTCAGCCTTTCTGGTATTACTTATTCTTTAACTTTCTGATGAGTCTTCTGACATCTATTTTTATCAAAAGTGAACAGTATCATTTTTATAGGAGGTTACTCTTATCCAATTCTCTAAATATTTAAAGACAAAATTATAACTACCATACTTATCAATTTAAATTTCCTGGGGACCTCCCACAAACTCTTTTCCTTATGTATAGCTACTATCAGATTTTGGACTTTTCAAAAAGCATACATAAAACATCTTTTTAATATCGGTTATTCGTATACAATTGTGTTAACTTCTCATCCCTCGCAAAGATCTCCACAATTCTAGAGAGATGTCAGATTTGGGATCTCACTGGTAATTTTTGCAATCTCATAAATTATTTCCACTTTACTTTTTTGCTAAGCAAAAAGTGTACTAAGTCTCATTTCATATCGAATAGTCTCTGTTGCAAATTTGCATGTTTCAAAAATCTATATGAACAAAGGCGTTACTGGTGCAGCATAAATGTAATTGCACCATGACATTTTATTCTGAAATTCTTCTCAAACCAGATACAATAAGCTCTTTTTTTTTTTTTTTTTTTTTTGCCAAAGAGAGAGTGAAAGTGTGAGAGATTGAGAGAAAGAGGCAGAGAGAGAAATACATTTAAAATAATGCTTAAATATACATCACAACAGACATCAGAAACAGAAGTTCAAAACAAACATCAGAAAAACCATCAACACAGTTCTAAACTTCAACCTTTGCTAACATCCACCCCCCAAAAAAAACAAAAGTGAATGTTCTGACTTAAGACCTAAAAACTTGCTAAAATTCCGAGTGACTTAAATGTCAGTGTGAGCAGTATGCAGTTCAAAAGTTTTAAACTTACTTTTTTGTTTGTTTCCAAAACTTATATTTCTCTCCTCCCTGGTGTGCTGAACGGAAACACTAAAGCTGTTTCTTTGAAAGGTAGTTCCCATGATATGACATCCAGTGCCTTTGACTGCTTAGAGATAAGCACCTGCGTTTGTGTCCCCTCCTTACGTCACACCTCCCTATTCAGACCTTCTCAATATGATTCACATTTGCACATCAACAGCCTCATGCGCATACACAGATTTTTTTCGGCTCTGGGCCCAAAACTTTCACTTTAATTTTCATCACATGATTGCTGTGGCATATGTCCTTCCAAACCTCCCATATATCAGTCATCATGCAAATGAGATGGAATATCACTCCTCTGCAGCAGATGGCCAGGGATGATAACAATGGCTCAACAGAGGAGATTCAATGTCCCTGACTTTATCGCCACGGCAACAACAACCTAAAATATATGTAATGGAAGTGGTGCTTATTAATTTTGCAGGCTCGAGTGTTCTGATTTTGTGAGTGAATGGGCTGAGTTAAAAAGGGGGCTGTGTCCTCCTGCCTCTAGAAGACTATCTATAAAAGCCAGGGACCTGGAAATTATTTTCAGTGACTAAGAAGGCAACAGCCTAGCAATTATTTGAGTAATTAGGTGTAATTCCTCCCTGTAGGCCTTGTACCCTCCTGTGCTTGCTTCACAGAAGCTCACGAATTAGACAGGCACAGATACTGAAAAGAAAAGTGCCTCAAGATACAGCGGGAGAGCTTGCAGGGGCCCTGTCACTTGGCCTCCACCAGGCTTGGTAAACACAAGCCCCAAGCTATAAGTAAATAGAGGCCCCACTTCACAAACACAGACCAATTAAAATGACAAAGGCAACCACACTTCTGGGTGGAGCTTAGGAAAGCTTTATGCTGCACTAGACTCCGTGTGAGTGGCACACAGAATGGTCTCTGCGCGGCCCGGAGCACTCTATTTCCATGACTGGCTGTCAGGATTGGACACTTGCTCCCACGTCTCTGCAGGTTATGCTGCTCTCACAGGGATTTTTTTCACGGGGCTACTTTTTTCCCTGACTCCAAGTGGACATTTGATACCCTTCCCACTCCTAACAGTATTTTTAAAAATTAAGTAATGGAAAAGGCAGTTCATCCTCCCAAATTTGCCACAAGCCCTTTTACATCTTAAAGGAATGACTGTCAAACTGCCCAAACCGATGGGAGCTTTTATGAAACATGCAAGGATGAAAAATGGAGTGAAAAACCTGTCTCCAAATATTTTCCTGGAAACTCTTTTGAAAACACCCTCTACAACATTTTTCATCCTAATCAATATAAAGATTTAATTTTTTTCTGCTTGTAGGGCTGAACTACATATTAACATTTTTAAAACTTTAAGATTCCTTATTTTTCACTGCTTTTAAGAAAACCACCATGGAAGTATCATCTTATAAGAGCAAACTCTACTCTGTGTCCATTATAAAAAAGACATGAATAAGAACTTGTTGCCTTAGAAGAGAAGAGTTGTGAAAATCAAAGAGGAATTCAAACCTTTTCGTGTCCTTTCAACATTCAATAAACCTCAGACACTGTGCAAGGCTCTCTGTACAGATGAGGAACATGAGAGAAAATAGCTCAGTCTTCTCTTCCAGAAAGATCTAAATAAATTGTTCGAGGTCCCTTGCCCCATTGCTCCCTCACAGTGTTTTGGTTTTTTGAGACGCACCTTCACCCCCTCTGGCTGGCCCCAGCTTTCTTTCCCTGGAGTTCATTCCTCCCAAGGAACAGGAAGCACAGGAGAGGAAATGGAGCCTCCTAGCCTGTGATGCTAACTTCCTCCAAGTCTATATCCATCAAAATAAAGCCAGCCCATCACTTGCTTAAATGGGGTGCAACACTACATGCTTTACCACCTGACTTTAAAAACAGTTATCTTTCCCATGCGAGGGAGTGTATGCATGCAGATTCACTTTCCTTCTTAGCATGTGGGCTAATATCAATTCATCAATGTTTTGCAGTACATTTGGCATTGTGAAGAATATAATTGCCTAGTGCAAAATTTCATTGTGCTATTTAAAGGTGATACTCCAACGCAAAGACAAATTTGGAGCAGCAAATGTCCAATCTGATTTTTTGCTTGTTTGTTTTGAGCAGTGTCTCCCTCTGTCGCCCAGGCTGAATGAAATGCAGTGGCGCAATCACAGCGCACTGCAGCCTCAACATCCTGGGCTTAAGCGATCCTCCTGCTTCAGTCTCCCAAAGTGCTGGGAATACAGGTATGAGTCAGTGCGCTCAGTCATCTAATCTGAAAATTCTCACACTAAGAGTATACAGAGAACTTAAACTCCACGTGAAATGAATCTCTATACTGAGCTATCAGTGATAGCATTAGTGAACCAATACATGAGGCAAATGTGGTTGCCACAGGTACAGTGTGGCGACAACATGGATTTCTAGCTGACAGTTCACCTGATCAATTTTAGTGGTTTTAATGAATATCATTATCATAGAAATAAAGTCACCTAATAATAGGAATTAAAAATAATAGCTCTTTGGGACACAAATGACATACCATACTATTCACCTATTTTAAGTATATAATTAAATAATTTGTAGTATATTTAGTATATTCATAGTTGTGCAACTGTTAGCAAGATTTTAGAACATTTTCATCATTCCTTGCCAAAAATGCCATACTCATTAGCAGTCACTCCCCATTCACCACACTTCCACCCACCAATTCCCTCCCTCACACCCAGGCAACCACTAATCTATTTCTGTCTGTATAAATTTGCCAATTTTGGACATTTTATAGTAATGGAATCACATAATATGTTGTCCTTTATTACTGGCCTCTTTCACTTACCACAATACTTTCAAGGTTTATCCACATTGTAGCATGTATCAGTACTTTATTTCTTTGTATTACTGATTAATATTCTATTATTTGGATATACTACATTTTATTTATCCAGTCATTGATTGATAGACACTTATAAATAAGGATACTATAAACACTCATGTACAAGTGTTTATGTGGACATATGTTTTTATTTCTCTTGAATAACTACTTAGAAGTAGAATTGCTGGATCATTTGGTAATCTCTATATTTAATTGTTTGAGGAACTGCCAAAGAGTTTTTCAAAGTGTCCGCACAATTTACATTTCCACCAGCAGTGTATAAGAGTTCCAACTTCTCTATATACTCACTAACACTTGTTATTGTCTATCTTTTCTATTATGACTGTTTCAGTGGGTGTGAGGTGACATTGCACAGTGGTTTCGATTAGCATTTCCCTAATGACTAATGACACTAGCATTTTTTTTATTGTGCTTATTGATCATTTGTATATCTTTTTTGGAGAACTGTTTATTCTGAGCTTTTACCCAGTTTTAAGTTATTTGTCTTTTCATTATTGAGTTGTAGATGCTCTTTATATGTGTATTCTAGATACAAGTTTCTTATCAGATATAGAATTTGCAAAACTTTTCTCCCATTGTGTGGGCTGTCTTTTCACTGTCATGTTTTCCTTTAAAACACAAAGGATTTTATTTTGATGAAGTTCAATTTATCTATATGTTTCTTTAATTATTTGTGCTTTGGTGTCATAGCTAAGAAACTATTGCCAAATTCAATGTCACAAAGATTACACTTGTTTTCTTCCAAGAGTTTTAGAATTTTAATTCTTACATTTAGGTTTTTTATTCATTTTGAGTTAATATTTGTATCTGCTGTGAGGTAGAAATCCAACTGCATTCTTTTCCATGTGAATATCCAGTTGTTCCAGCAACATTTGTTGAAAAGTATATTCTTTTCCTATTGAACTGTCTTGACACCCTTGTTGGAAATCAATTGATCATAGACATGGGAATTTATTTCTAGACTCTCAATTCTATTTCATTGATGTATGTATTTATCCTTATGCCAGTACCACACTGTCTTGATTACTGTAGCTCTGTAGTGAGTTTTGAAATTGGGAAGTGTGAGTTCTCCAACTTTGTTCTTCTTTTCCAGGATTGTTTTGACTATTATGGGTCCATTGAATTTCTATATAAAACTTAGGATCAACTTGTCAACTTCTGAAAATAAGCCATCTGGGATTTTGATAGGGAATGTATTAAATCTGTACATCACTTACAACTTCTAATCCATGAACATATCTTTCCATTTATTTATTTTGGCTCTTAAAAATTTCTTTCAGCAATGTTCTATAGTGTTCAGAGTTAAGATTTACACTTCTCTTGTTAAATTTATTCCTAATTGTTTTATGCTTTTATAAGCCATTGTAAACAAAATTGATTCCCTATGTTTATATCTTGCAACCTTGCTAAACTTGGTTCTTAGCTCTAAATAGCATTTTTAGTGGCTTCCTTGCGATTTTCTAAATACAAATCTGTATGAAAGATCATGTCGTCTGCAAATGGAAATAGTTTTACTACTTCCTTTCCAATCCAGATGACTTATATTTCTTTTTATTGCTTGGCTGTCCTGGCTAAAACCCCAATATAGGGTTGAAGTGGCAAAAGCAGACATCATTGTTTTGTTCCTAATTTTATGGGGAAATACTTTGGTTTTTAGCATGATATTAGCTAATTTTGGAATTTTGGAAGCTCAGCTTAAAAGCGTTTTCAACTTAAAAAGCTAACTGCTTTCTGGCACAGTAACCTGCCCTACATTGGTGTAACCCCTAGGGAGACCAAAAACAAATCCTCTACTCTAAAATTTTACAAGTCTCTTGTGTGAGACCTGTCATGGTGCTGGCCAGACCTAATCCCTAGCTGTCCCTCTAAAACCTGCTGAGACACAACTAGAAGAGCCTGACACAGGGCATTCATTCTCTCTAGATTGGGCTATCTTCATGACTCAGAGCATCCTTGAGGTAGTCAGTAACAGCCTGGCAGGGCTAAGCGGCAGAGTTTCCCTTTGGATACTTCAGGTTCTCATAGTAAGGGTCAACTGGACCCCAAGTTCAGTGATGCTGGAGAAGCCAAACTGCAAGTTTGACTTCTGGGTCTTCCACCTGTCATGCCAGCATTTGTGCCATGCTCAGTCAGATTCAGGTGTAGACAGCACACCTAAATTCCACCTGCTGCCTGGGATTAAACCAATCAACCTCTAGACATAAGTTTATTGCCTGTTCACTTCATACTTGCAATATTTAATCTCTACATGTGGACTCTGGGTAATTTCTTGATCTATTTGCAAAAGTAGTTATATTTATAGTCAATAAGATGTAGCAAAGTAAAATCAGATATTATTAAAATTGTAAAATCAAATGACATTTTGATAATGAATGAAAGATGATAAATGATTCCTATAATGATGATGATGATGATGATTATTATATTAGCAACAGTAATATAGCTAAGACTTATTCTAGTGCTTATATTATGCCATGCACTGTTCTGAGTGCTTTTCATGGGTTAATTAGGAAGCAGAGGCACTCTTCCAACTAACTTTTCCCAGTCCAAACCATTAGCCACTGAGCTAGAATTCAGACTCAGATGCTCTTAACCACAAGTACATGCTCTTAACCACAAGGCAATACTGTGAATTTCACTTACATCTACACATCCTACCAGCCAGTAAAAACCACCATGGATGTGATAAGGAAACTCTCCAGTGAATTTTTCAGTGACCCTTTTCTTTTGTCCTTTGTCTTTTTTATAAGAAATTTATACCACTAAAAAAGGTTTCCAATGCTGCATCTTCTAAACTTTTACAAAGCTGTTATCATTTAACAAAGTGAAGTTTTCTTCAAATTGATGTCATCAATAAGAAATCTTACTTATTTTTCTTTTAGCCGGTGATTCGCTCCATTAGCAGAATGAACGTGAACACTAAAATGAACATGACCATAATCTAAAATGAATATGAACACTAAGACGTAGTTTACAATATGGCGAGGCGTAAGGTATTTGCTAAGGAGTATTGTTTATCTATGTATATTTCTATACCTGTATGTATATCTATACCTACACCTATGCCTACGCTTATGGCTGCATCTATATTTGTCTATTATGTCTACATTTATATCTTTTCAATATGGCTTTCATATCAGATGGAAAAAGTTCTTGTTCTTCACAAAGCAACTGAATTATATACGGTCCATGCATTTGGTACACAGCTCAATCACTCTGTCTTGTTCTTATTTATCATGTGACATGTGGCATCACCAGCTGCAGGAAATCTGGCTTAAGATCCCTTTGCACACTTTATATGTATGATGAAGTGAAGCTTTAGATCATGGACTGTAGGTGACCTGAAACGGTTCCTGAAGTGTTCATCTACTTCATTCCTCAACCCTCTTACTCCCTCACATTACTAGAGCTGGAAGCCTAGCACTGGGCACGCACTGGGCATGTGTAAGTCATTCTAGCTGCACAGGTCGGTAATTTCTCATTTCTATGCACATTTCCTTCTTCTATACACATACACATACCACAGTTTTTTTCTATTTAGATTGATTTGTCTTAAACTAGTTTATTCTCCTTTTTACAGAAAGGCAAGTAAAGCTTATAATGACTCCACTTAGAAAAAAAACACACATTTCCTGGACAGATAATTTAAGTTCCAAGTTGTCTTCTAGCTGTGATTTGACATAGTAGACCACAATGTCTCAAACAAAGGATTCTCTGCAGCTTCCACAATTAGTTTTGTAAATGTGTTTGGAATAAGTGTCTTTATGACTGAATAGTTGGCATTTAACACAACAAAAAGAAATGACAGAGCAAAAGAGGAAGGATGGTTTCAAAATGGCCTAAGCAAAACCAACAAGCCTGTTGGCAAACACTCTGAATGTCCTGGGATTGGAGGTGAGGGTGACATGCTGTGCTGATGCTCAGCTGCTGCCACTGATGGCTAAAGAGGGAAGAAAAAGAAAAAACACATCTAAATAAATCATTTGCAAAGACTTTAAAAATGGGTGAAGTGTTTCCAGAGTTCACACAATATTTTTCTTACACTTTGCTGAACAGACATCATGACCAGGGGCTATTTTGGCCCTAATCCCAGGAAATGAGGCAAAGATGACAAATGATGTGATTTGGGGGACTGTCTCAGATTTGGTGAGTCTCCTGTCATTCACTATTCATCTCTGCTCTACACCGTGGTTAAGAGCTTTCAGTCGTGTGGAAATGTTCGGTTTGTTAATGAGATTGTTCACCACTTCACTGCTGTAGGGTTC